GCGCCGCGTCGAGGCGGAGGGCCAGGAGGAGCAGCAGGACGAGGATACAGGGGCATCCACTATTGTGAAATTTCCTGGTCATCTGCCCAGAGCTTGCTTGGATGGGTCAGACAGGACAGTGAACACCAACTTCCTGACATTCTGTGTATCCAATAGCATCGGTGTAAGCTTGAAGACAAGGTTCGTGCTGCTCGCAAGTGGAGTCGTGATCATGGTTTTCACTACTATGATTTCCGCCTGGTAGATTCGACAGGTATTGGAGTCACCGAGAGCAGCAGCGGGTGCGCAGTATCGAGGATAACGGCCTCGTCATCGTCGGTGCCTCCAGCTACGAGTTTCCTTTCCCCAAAGAATCTCAACACAGTGTGTCAACATCGGATTGGCTCTACCGCTATACGTTTGCTCCGTCTACCTCACCATAAGCATCGGCTTTTCTGGCGAGAACATTGATCACCTCGAAGCCCTCATTGCCTGCGTTGGCTTTTTGCAGGGCCCATGGCTGATCGTTGGTGACTGGAACTTGCTACCGTCGGATCTTGAAGTTCGGGCGAAGCACGCGAAGGGAATATTGTTTTCCGGTCAGGCGCCCGCCTTCGGTGATCGCGAACTAGACTTCGCGATCTGCAGCAACGCATTGGCAGGGTTTGTGTCGAGTGCGGTTGAAGGCTCGATTGCTCGCTGCCACACGCCTCTCAAGATCATAGTCGCGGGTCTTCACCAGAAGGCCACTGGCACCCGAGCGTTGTACCCCAAGATGTTCCTCATCGTCAAGCCTCCTCCAGAGAGGCCTGCACCTGTTGAGGCACATCATGCTGATTGGCCTTGGAAAGTTGGGCAGGAGTGCCCAGCTTTGCTTTAACATGCATGCGAGTGTTGGTTAGATCATGTAGAGACGTGTTTGACGGACTTCAATATATACCCACCTGATGTCAAGTGCGCCGGACTGGCAGAAGTAAAGGACTGCGAGTGGCGAGCGTTCCGTTCGATACGGCCTGGAAGCAGGATGTCAGACAAGGTTCGTCGCAACAGTATCGTTCCTGGGCGTCGTTTTACTCCGCATTCATGCGATTGCACGCCATCGGGTGTATCATGAAGGAGCGCAGCATGAGTAGTCTCGCAGCGTTCACCAGGCAAGCCAAGACTTGCCGCCGCATTGCTGCCCCGTGGCCTGTTGAGGGCCCTTTGCAGCAGCGGACCAACGCGCCCGTTGATGACCTCATTGCTCTCGTCAAGGGCGGAGGGCGGGAGGCTTTGACGTTTTTGCGGGGCGTGGGGGCCCCTTGCTCTCACGCGGCTGATCGTGCTGTGCGCAGCGCAGCCTGGAAGATCTGGGCTAGAAGTGCTGTTTCGGAACAGGGCGGCCGAGCCGCTTCCCGGTATGTTCGCGAGCCCACGCCTTGCACTCAGATCTCCAGGCCAGCTGACGTCGATCACCCGGCCATGCCGGCTATGGGTCAGAGGTCGGTGGACCTCCTTTTTGGAGCAGTGGGAACCTCTTTGGAACAATTCGCTGCGCGATGGTGAAAAACATCTTCGGGACTGGGTCCCTGGTTCGGCCGCTGGTTTGTCGGGCCGCGTACCCCCTGAGGGCCCCTGCGGGCTCGGGCCTTCGGGTGGTCTAGATCCCTGGGAGCCGCAGCCTTACATCACAATCGAATCTCTCGACAGGGCGCTGCATACTTATCCTACCAGCGCAGGCATAGCATGGGACAGGCTGCATCCTCGTCAACTGGTGTGGATCCCTCCGCTCTATAAGCTTGTGTTCATAGAACTCCTACTCCAGCGGGAGGAGGACCCAGAAGCCCTAGACCTCTGGCTCCTTTCAGAGCGTGTCATTGGAAAGCCAGCTCCGCCAGGGGGGGTCCGCCCCATTGTGCTGACTTCGATTTGGGGCAGGATCTGGTCTCGGCCCCGGCAGCCGGTGGCCAGCAAGTGGGAGTTCTCGCTTGAGAACGATGCTTTATGGGGCGCCTCAGTTTTAACCTGCGATCGAGCTGGACACGTCCATAACATTATTCAGATATTTGCTCGTCTGAAAGGTTTTGTTGCTGTGAGCGGCCTGTTGGACCTGTGAAAGTACTGCGAGCATATCTCCCACGAGGCCGTTTTTTCCAGGAAGCTGTGGCTACATGCGCTCCCATCGTTTTGTTGCGATGCTTCTGTTCTAGCTGTCGCCTCCCGCGCGGAGCTGCTTGGGAAGCGATGATTACAGAACCGATGGTTGCTAATGGGACTGTTGCGGCTGGCTGCAGTAGTGTTCTTGCTCTTGCCAAGTTGTTGGTTCAGACGCTCATCAAGAAATTGCAGACCCGCTACCCACAGGTTAGGTTTCAGAATTTATTTGATGATTTCCTCTTGCAGTGCATTGGAGGGAAGTCCCAGGGGCTCGAGTTTTCCTCGGCCGTGATGATTTTCTGGCCTTGAGGCCAATCTGCTCAAAGTCAGTTGGGACAAGACTGAATACATGACTAGCTCGCCTGATGCAGATGTAGAGTTAGGGGGAAAGTGGGACCTAGCCTCGGACGTGAGGCTTTCACACGGCCGCTGCCTAGGCACAAACGCCATTGGCGGTGGTTCCAGGTCTGTGGAAGAACAGAACAAGCGTTTGGCGAAGGCGAAGAAGGTCTCCAGTAGGGCAGTTCACTTT